TCTTTCCCTTTCAACTTTGAAGTTCAGAATTATGTAGCTTACACATAATAACAAAAATGAAATCTCTCAGGTTAGTCTTGGACAGTCTGAATATCATCCTTGCCACATCAATACTAACAAAGTTAAAACAGCATTCCATATGTTTTTTTTGTTTAGGGCTTCTCCTCCCCACCCTTCTCACACACTGTTTTCCAAGCCTATAGCCCACACTTCCTTTCTGTTTCCAAATTTCTTCCCTTTCTCCTACATTAAAAAAAAAAAAATCATGCATTTGACTGCTCAAGTGAGAGCTCAAAACAAGAATAGTCACTTGTACGGTGTTCTCTGAAAAAAAATCAGGCCCTTTTGATTATTGTGCATACTTCAGTTCTGTTATTCATTACTCATGAAAGTGTCGAACACTGTCTAAAATCTTAACCACGTTTATGGTATAAAAATTGCCATTTTAAATAAGTCCCTCCTAAATCTACCTGTTCCAAGGTGTCAGTCTCAGACAGCAAATGCATCTCCTGAGACATCAGCACGAAAGCCTCTTCTTTCCACCTTGACATCAGATCATAACTGTACTTTACCTCCAGTTTACAGAAACATAAGCTCTTGCAAGAACTCTTCAGATGACACTTCACATTACAATTAAAACACCTTGCATCTTGCTAGCTACAGCTGGAAGAGAGAGTTGTTCCCCCCCCCCAACAATCTCACTCCTTACTGTCTACTCTCAACAGTTCTCTTGCGCTGGAACTGGGCAACTGAGCCACTACAGGGAACTAAATGAGCAGAAAACCAATCCCACCAAACAGAGGTTTTTGCCAAGTTGGCTCCTTGAACAACACCACTGCAGAATAAGATCAGCACACGCACTGCAACAAAGGCAAGAATATACAGCCAGGGCAGCAGGACCATCATCTGTAGTGCCAATTAACTATAGGATTTGCTCAGTTGTACTGTGAAATTGCAGTCTTATTTGCCACAGTCTAGGTCTTACTTGATTCTTTTGTTTTCCCCCTTCCCTCAGATGCAGACTTCAGTTGCCTGGTTTCTGCTCTTTCTGTGCATACATACTGCCTCCCAGCCTGAACAGTGCCAGCTGGTTAACCTGACAAACCTCTTGCTTTGATTACTGTTATTTTCTTGGCTTCCACCTTCATTTCTTTACTATGCCAAACCAATTTAATAAAAAAAGTACCTGCTACACTTCAATAATGTTGTTTTGTTTTGTTTTTTCCCCCTCAATCTTTCAGCATCCTTTTTTTTACATTATTAATGTTTTCAATCCTAAATTTCTGCCTTCATTTTTCTTATGCTATTTTAATCAGGTATTTCACTCCCATACTCTCCCATTCCCATCCCACCCTCTAAAAGTCTTGCCACAGCCCTCACCTTCATGCCCTACCAATAGAGGACTTGCCCATTCTCCTTCACTGAGCATAAACACTCCTTCTTTTCTGCCTTGTTGAAATTAGATTACAGAGCTGTAGTCAGTAGTCTTAATCTGTTGCCATCCCTTTTCTACCAGGCTTCTTAAAAAAAACTTAATTTATAGTGTTTAAATATATTTATACATCAATAATTATCCTGTTATGATAAGCAGCACGAGAATAATCTCAACCTTTTCCACTTACTTTGATGAAAGTGTCATTTGAGCAGGTGGCTAAAAGATACTGACCACTTCTGTTATTGAACTGGCAGCAATTGACCTGCTCTGAGTGTTCTTCATATACACACCTACACTGGCCTGTTCTTGAATTCCAGACCTAGAAAGAATTGAAAGATGAAAAAGACTTTTAAATATATTTAAAGTACTTCATTTAAAAAAATCTGTACACTATGCTGAAATACAGATAAAGCCCTAAAACATTCTTAATAAAACCTCAAAAATGTTTTGAAGATAAAGGGAAAGCATATATATTTACAATTAGAAACAAGAAGTTACGAGGTGAAGGTCATAATTCAGATTAGAATCTGATAAATACTGGAATTTCACCAAGGTTTTGCTACAATCCTGAGGAATTAAAAATTCCAAATAATTCAGATGCAACAGAAAAAAACCATGAAAAAAAAGAATTATGAGCACATTCATCTCATGTTATGGATAGGATTGGACTCACATTATGTTCTACTTAGAAAGAAAAATCTGATAACACAAGTAAAATAAGTGGTAATTCTGTAAGTATGATGTTAACATTAAGCATCTTTTATGTTATGTAACAAGTGGGGCTTTTCTGTTTGTTTGTTAAGTAGTGAATTATTCACATAAGATTTAAGACAGTTAAAAAAAACTTTAATCTTAAGAATCTGCTTTGCCTGAGTTGGCTGAAACTGAAATTAGAATTACTAATTTGAAAAAAAATTGTCTGCTCTCCATTTCCTTACCTTCACTTTTTTATCAGCTGAACAAGTTGCTACAAATTCACCATCTGCAGAGAAAGCGCAACAAAGTATTTCATCATCATGGGCACTTATCTCCAGGAGTCTCCCTCCACTTTCTGCTTTAAACACCTAAAACAATTAAAAAAAAAAAAAAAAAATCTTATAACTCGCATACAATTTTAAAACACAAATATAAGGTTTTTTCTCTCAAACAGCTTTCTCTATATAAGCTTTTCATAAAATTGGTTTACTTTTGAAAGCATTTATAATTTCAGGGAAATAAATATAATAATTATAAAACTATTTAATTTGAGCTTCAATTTTGTAAGGATGATAGAAATTGTTAGGGAGAGAAATGCAAAGTTTCATTAATGACTTTTTCTACCCTCATTCTTTATGCCTAAATCCACGTCCTTTCTCAGTATTTTTTAATAGTAATGGCAAAACACTCTATCTAAAACAAAATCTAAACTATTCTTAAAACTTCAAATTCCAGGTTTTTATATATATATATGATATCCTTCCGTGGAAAGTAAGAATTTCAGCAGCAATTGATGATTTGGGGAACAAAGAAGAAAAAAGAAGTAGTGAAAAGTCATACAGGATGACACAAGTCTTAGTCTTGAGCTAGTCATAGGCAATAAAAGGACAGCTGGGGAAAAGTGTCACATATTAATCAATTTCCCAAAATTCTGGGATTTAACTTTACAATGCGGGGGGAATAAAAAAAATCAGGTCTCCCTTTCTTCCTTAGGTTACATATTCTTAACTATTAAAACAAATCACAAGGTGTTCTTTACAGCAGCGTTCAGGATACTACCATTGTGAAGTCACTGTTTTTTCCTTTACTGTTTCATTGAATGGGAATATCAATGACAATGAAATGGCTGGTATTTGTTAAAATAAGAACATAAATACTGAAGTAACAGGAAATCTACATTTACATTAAGTTCCGCAGAATATCTGTTCTTAATCTAGCAATCATTATTTTTTTATTTTACAGGAGCAGTAAAAGGAGCCTTGAACACTGAAAAGCTTAGGCCACCATTAGAAAAAACATGAAAATTTCAAAGTTAAAAATTGAAAAAAGGATTATTGTGAATTTTCCTATTACTTCTTCAACAAAAGTTTAGTTTAAATGCAATCACAATCCACAGATTTTACTTTTTTGGGTAGAAAATGAAGAGAAAAATAAGCAATCTGCAGTCTCAATAATGAGGCCGTTAAGTACAGAAGCCCAGCACAGTAACTTCAGCACAGCATAAAACGAGAACATCTACCAGGCATCTCCTTAAGTGGATGCCATGATCATAATATTGTAGAAGCCAGCAAATAAAATAAATAAATAAAAACACAATAACAACACATTAAGCAGCCAAATGAACAGCAACTAAGCACCACTAATATTATTACTTTAGTACTCAACTTATCAGGCATCCAAAACAATACCAAAGGCTTGCAGAAAAGTTGTTCTTTTCCCTTACCTTTGGCTGTCTGGAATATGGATACTTTACCAGGTTACTGGCTGGCTGATTGCTAGTTTTCTTGAGAGCTGGCTGGCTCCCCTCCAGGCAGACTGCTGGCAAATTTGTATTAGTCACTTTCCTCTCTGTCTCCCCTAATCCACTTCCTAAGCACTTCGGGCCCATTTCCAGTCTAATACTGTCCTCAACTCCAGGGGTTCATTTTTCTCCCCAGATTTATTTATTTTGCATATGACAATTTACTAATTAAGCACCAAAGTAGCACAATATCCATTACCATCCCATGGAAACAGTAAAGCTATAACTAAAACGTCTTACTGTTTCTCAGTTCTGCAGAAGGTCTACTGTGACTGGAAATAACATTTTTGCAAGCAAGTATTAAATATGCTGGGGTGCATTACTTAGGCCACGAGCTTTTCCGTATCGTTAAAAGGCATCTCACATTCACGTATTACACCGGTGAGGGTATAAACCCTGAAATCACAGAGTTTAGCTTTTGAACCAGAAGATAATGCTTACTATTCTGAACATGCAACTCGATGTTTGCGTAATAATACATCATTTGTCTCCAGTATGTTCTAGATCCCTAATATCTCCACATTAACAGCAAAAGAAAAGCGACAGGACTGTTAACAAATGTTATCAAAATAGTACACAGCATCTCTTTTCACTCATGCACAGGTATCTTACCTGAAGTGTTTTATCAGCTCCACATGATGCTATTCTTTGTCTATCCTTAGAAAAGCAGGCATGGTAAACTGCATCTCTATGTGGACGAACAACCAGACGGTAGAGGTTTTTCAAGGATTTTTTATTTCTACAGGGTAAGAGAGTTGATTTTAGATGAGTAGGATTTCCTAGTGCCTTTTTATTATTGAAAATCCTCTATAAAAAGATAACATTTTTTCACACATCTTGAGCAGCAAGCTTTGTAATAAACCAGCCAACCCACCCACTATACCTCACCTCTCAGCCTTTACGCTGAAGTAATAAGGGAAACACAAATTCTAACATTCACTCAGAGTTTTTATTGCCCTCCAATATTACAGCTTAGAGATCAAGAAAGATAATACGTGCATGAGAAATTAACATGATACTTTATGGGCAAAGCTGTTGCACTGCAAGACACAGCCTTCCTAATGACATTTTTATGATCTGATATGTGCTATTTCCAAATACAAATTTCTTCCTGAGATTTCTTGTTCTCCTGCAGGTTCCTTCCCAAGCTTATGCAAAAACATTTCTAAATTTGTTTAGATCTTAGTAAATTTACCCGATTTTCATAGCAATGACTCAATTCTTACCACTATATGTTTAAATAAAATCTATGACTATCACTGCATTTCAATCAGAGATTAAATACAGAATCTAACACACCTTAGATGACTCTTGCCTCACTTTAACAAAAACTTCGAATTAGTAGCAAACATAATCATCCTGTTTAGCCAGATCTTAATACAGAAAGCTGTCACTGTAATAAGATGATTTTTGGTGATGAATAGATTGTTACAAGATTGATTCATTTTGAATATAAAAAAAAAATTAGTGTACTTCAAGTTTTTATCATTACCAGCTTCAATCTTCAAGCTTAACATTTAAACAATGGGTAAAACATCTCAAACAAAGCAGCTGCGCTTTAGAATGAAAGCAATTTTTCACTGCAAAATACCGACTCATCTAAGCCAACTTTTTTTTTTTTTGCGTATTTTAATGAAGCTAAAATTGCTGGTCAAGAGAGCAGTGTATTCACCTACATAACCTACAAACCACTTTTAGAACCTTGCCCTAGGATGGGAGACAAAAACATCTGTCTCTGTTCTGTTGATTTCAGCCGTGTTCTTCGTCATACGTCTCCCACATCGAAGGTGAAAACCCTGAACTACTGGAGATTGACTATTCTGAATTGTGCAACTTCCAAGTGTCTTTGTTAGAATTCTGTTAGCTATGCAAAATGAAATGACCAAATATTCACAAGACCACCTGAATTCAAGTATGCCTGGATTAACCTGCCTGGTTTTTACCATAATTACCTGACATCGAGTCATTCTGTTTTTTAACAACCAAGTATTGCAGATATCGGAACAGAAACATCAAACAGAAGAATCTAACAGAGACAGTTACATGGTCAGATGACTACTGGACTATGCCAGAAAAATGTTTAGATATGTATACTTTTTCTTTAAACAACTTCCAAAACCAGGAAAACAGCAAAAAATTACTTAAATAGGAGAAATTTCAAGATTGGGTAGAGATTACAAAGCCTTTTAGTATTTCCCATCTCGCTACTTTCAAAAAATCTGCAAGTTAACACAAATGGTCTCCTTTTTAAAGCGTACATTTTACTAGAAAATCTAAAAACATACTGTAACATACCCAATACTTGCACTACAATTCTAACTTTTTTCAAAAAAAAGAAAAAGAAGTATTCAGAGAAGTTTCAAAGTATCTTATTTTCATCCTTGTATAGTTATTTAAAAGGAACAACCACTGAGTACAGAAGTAAATATATTCCTCTATTTATTTCTATGTAATTATTACTAATTTGTAGCCTTACATATCCAGAGTTCCCCTCCTCCCACAAGTTCTTGAAAATTGTTTCACTTTCTTTCCCCAGAAAAGACACAGCAGTTCTTAAAAAGTTGCTTATAGATGTCCTTAGACATACATTGTATTTAGTTGTACATTAAATTATTTTCTTGGATCAAGGGATCACCATCTTGGATCAAGCCCATCAGCAGATGGATTGCAGCTACTTACATCCATTCCAAATAAAATGCTCCTGTTTCTCTTTGAGCGTGTAGCTTGGCTTGCTGATACACCTCTGAAGTCTCTGGTTGGCAAAGACCCAGCTGTATAATGTCAGGAAATGGTTGCCGTCCAAGAAGGTGCCCATTTAAAGACAGAAATTCCTGGAAGTTCTCACGTACTGTGCTATTCTATGTACAGAGCAGATAATATTTGATAACACAGAAAGTGAATTTATTTCCTAAGTGCTGTTTGCTTTTTTAATTTTCTATACAGTAATATTCTTATAGAAACACTTAGTTCTATTTTTCTATTTAGTTCTATCAGCAAGTACATATGATAGACTGAAATATTTCATTATCCTATGAAAGCTATTACCCTTATTTTTCAAATAAAGTGGTAACAGTGATTTACTCAATAAGCAGTCAGTGTGAAATATCAGAAAGACTCTTCCAAGTGGCCAACAAAATTCTACTCCTCCTCAAAAGCAGAGTACCATATGTACCCACCATTAGTTACTGTTGTTCACCTTAGTTAATGGAGTTCTGTGGTCAATTACTTGGGCACACAGTGAAGTTACAACTAAAACTAAAACCGAAAACTAAGTTTTCTTCTTTTTTTTCTTCTCCAAGTTAAACTTCAAGTTAGTAGTGGTTTTATGTTTCAGTTTTTTAAGCTTTCTATATATCTCATATATGCATACATCCAACAAAATGCAATTAAACATGGAAAAATATATCTGGAACAGACTGATCATTTACCTTTTAGTATCATACCTTTTGATCCAGGATTGAACTATATTCTACATATTCATGAATCAGATGAGCAGGCCCTACCAATTCTGTTTTAGCTTTAATCCAATCTAGAGAAAACATAAGATCATGGAGTTCCTACAAGAAATACAAATTTAAGTTCAGAGCATAAATTCCACAACAGAATCTACTTAAGGCAAAAAAGAAAAGCACAGGAAATACATTAGGTATTTAATACGCTTAAGTACAATTGTCTCCAGTTAAAAACTTAGGCAATTTCCTGTTTCCTGCATCTTACTCAATCAGATATGAAAATTCTGGGTATAGAAGGCTAAGCTTGTTGTTTTAATGAAAGGACTGCTCTTTGATACAGCTAGTCAGAGAAGGGATGGGGATACAAAGCAAATCTTGACTTTTGTAGTACACAAGACCTGGTTTAAGATACAACTCTGAAAAAGCTTCTTCTAGTCCAGTCTGGCAAAGATCACTTTGCTAATAGTTCTGCTCTGCTAATTGTTCTTCTTAACAGATGCTAAATTTGAATGAAAGCAAAAAATCTTATAGTTGCATTTAACTTAAAAATGAGAAAGCTACTTAAAAGACAATCAGAAACTGCAAATAGAATTACTAGAATAGAATACACTATTTCAGTTGGAAGGGATCTACAATGATCATCTAGTCCAACTGCCTGACCACTTCAGGGCTGACCAAAAGCTAAAGCATATTATTAAGGGTGTTGTCCAAATGCCTCAAACACTGACAGGCTTGGGGCATCGACCACCTCTCTAAGAAGCCTGTTCCAGTATTTGACCACCCTCTCGGTAAAGAAATGCTTCCTAAACCTCCAGTCTAAACCTCCCCTGGTGCAGCTTTGAACCATTCCCACATGTCCTACCACTTGATACCAGGGAGAAGAGATCAGCACCTCCCTCTCCACTTCCCCTCCTCAGAAAGCTGTAGAGAGCAATGAGGTCACCCCTCAGCCTCCTTTTCTCCAAACTAGACAAACCCAAAGTTCTTAGCTGCTCCTCATAGGACATTCCTTCCAGCCCTGTCACCAGCTTTGTTGCCTCCTCAGGACTCATTCAAGGACCTTCACATCCTTGTTAAATTGTAGGGCCAGAACTGCACACAGCACTCAAGGTAGAGCCACACCAATGCTGAATACAGTGGGATAATCACTTCTTTAGACCGGCTGGCTATGCTGTGTTTTGATGCACCCCAGGATGTGGTTTGCCCTCCTGGCTGCCAGGGCACCTGCTGACCCATACTGAGCCTGCTGTCGACCAGCACCCCCAGATCCCTTTCTGCAGGGCTGCTCTCCGGTCACTCCTCTCCCAATTTATACTTGTGCCCAGCGTTACTCCATCCCAGGTGCAGAATCCAGCATTTGTTTTTGTTGAATTTAACGCTCTCCAATCTATCTAGATCCCTCTGCAAGGCCTCTTGTCCCTCAAGAGTCGACAGCACCTCCCAGTTTGGCATCATCAGCAAACTTGCTAATAGTGCATTCAACTCTTGCACCCAGATCATTGATAAATATATTGAACAGAACTGGCCTTAGAACTGAACCCCAAGGAACACCACTGGTGACCGGTCGCCAGCCAGATATAGCCCCCATTTGCTACAACTCTTTGAGCCCTACCCTTCAGCCAATTCTTCACCCAGTGCACCATGAACCCGCTCATCTCACAGTTGGACTACTTGTCCAGAAGGATGCTGTGAGGGACAGTACCAAAAGCCTTACTAAAATCCAGAAAAACTACATCCACTGCCTTCCTTTCATCACTAGGCAGCTGACCTTATCGTAGAAGGATATCAAATTAGTTAAACAGGACTTTCCCTTTATGAACCCATGTTGACTGTGCCCGATGATTACATTATTCTTGAAATGCCTTTCAATAATACGCAGTATAATCTTCTCCATAATTTTTCCAGGAACTGAGGTTAGACTAACAGGTCTGTAGTTCCCTGGGTCTTCCCTCGCGCCCTTCTTGCAGATTGGAATAACATTGGCTAGCTTCCAGTCAGCAGAGACCTCCCCAGCCTCCCAAGTCCTTTGGTAGGTGATCAAGATGGGTTCTGCCATAGTATCTGCTAGCTCCTTCAGTACTCTGGGATGAATCACATTAGGCCCCATGGACTTGTGAACATTCAGCTGATCCCTTACAATTTCAGTGCCCACAAATTGAAAGTCACAGTTCCCACACTCATGGTCCTCCGACTCAGGGAACCGGGCAGCCCAAGGTTTGTCAGTATTACTAAAGACGGATGCAAAAAAAGCATTGAATGTCTCCGCTTTTTCCTCATCCCTACTAGTCAGATGGCCATCTTCAACAAGTATTGGTCCAATGTTTTCTTTAGACCTCCTCTTGCTATTAACGTACTTAAAAAAGCCCTTCTTGTTAAAAAAAACCATACTTGCTAGGATCAGAAAAACTGCTTAGAGACAACACTGCACAGGCTTAAAGTATATTCCAACTTAAAATCAGTAAATACTGCAAGGATTAAAAGATTATCATGGTTAAACAAAGGAAAAGAATTCCTCCCATCTTTATTAGGCTTCCCACAAATAGAAATCATATTTAAATAATGAGAAATAAGTAATATAAAGAGTGTAAACTCTGGGAAGCATACAGTCATAATGAGAGGCTAAAGAATTCTCAGAAGCTAATTCTACAAAATGTAGAAAGGCTGATAATAAAAACATTTTTCCAATACATTGAAATTAAAGAGACTGAAATAATGAAATAAGTATGATCCAAAAAACCTAGATGTGTAGCCCACATTAATTATGAAGGTTCCTGTAAGATATAAGTATACAAAGTGTATTTTATATGATGAGTCAAAATCTCAAAAGAGATTCAACTGAAAAGGTTTGAGTACATGTGAAATAAAGCAATTGGCAACCAGAACCAAATGCTATTCATGGCAAGAATTCTAAAGACATTCAAGTGAAACTACTGAAGTACTAATCTTGCTGCACGATTTGCGTCTTATACTAGCTCAGTACCTAAAGAACAGTAGGTGGCAAAAATGACAGCAATTTTTTAAAGGCGCCAAGGCAATCCTGGAAACAAGAGGTTTGCCCATCTAACTCTTGCTAGACTTTTTTATGGCTGTTGAAATCTGGTAATACAGAAAATGAACTTTTACACATAAATCAGTATGACATAAGAGGAAAAAACTAACAAGACTTCCATAGAAATAATTAACTAATCCTATCAAATTCTCTGAAGAAATCGATTTACTTATATTATCATACAATAAAGCGAGCCTGGGTTTTAAAAAAAGTTTAGAGAAGATTTCTTATCAAAGTTTCTTCAAAAGGAAAAGAAAAACACAAACTATTATGATACAAAATAAGAAGTCTTCTCAAGAACTGGTTGAAAAGACAAGACACAAAGGGTAGAAATAAAGTAACTTTCAGAAAAAACAGTTAGTTTCACGGACAGTGATTATCAGGGAGTCCCTAAAGGACTCAATGTTGAGAGTTTACCTATCTGCACAAAAGCCTGGGAAAAGAGAGGTTCAAGTGTGAAAAAGCCTGGGGGCAAAGGCAGGGGTAAGGGTAGGTCGAGAAGGGAAACAGAGGACACTAGTCAGAACTCACCTTCTGCATGTTGGCACCAGCCATGTGATACGCTAGAAAGTTATACCAGTACATGCAATCCTCTTGAGATGGAACTGGCGTACTAAGTTTGTAATACTTCTTGTACTGATTTACTATGTTTTTATGTAGCTCCTGCAATGTGGATCAAAACACACTTTCAGTTAATACTATATGAAGGTATGGACTGGTTTCAGTATTGTGGAATTATAATTATTATTAATATTATATTGTATCTATTATTGAGGAAAAATAATATTATTATTATTTCTCAATCGTTATATGTCAACAAATGAAATAAGAAAAGCTTACCTTCCAAAACTGTACACTTAACCTAATTTATTGCTTAAAACTTCTACAGAAACTTTCTCTGGATATTAAAAGACAGAAAAGCAAGCTGTTAACTTTCCTTCTTAGGTTGAGAACAGCTATCAAATCACTCTTCACATTAAATGTGGGTAGCCAACAAAAAAAAGACCCGAATGTAGATCTAAAGCAAGTCTAAAAACTTGCCTTTTCTTCATATCTACTCTTTCTGTCCAGTCCTTCAGAACTGATAAATTTATTGGGCCCAACTTATAGGACTTCTCCCTGCAAGTATTGCCTTAAATTGAAAAAAGGAGTAAAAAGCACTTCTCTGTATTAAAGAAGAAACTTCCTATTCTGGTAGAGTCTTGATGCCTTTGGAATCATCAGTGGAACATTCCATCTCCTGCTGGAAAGGTCTTTGACACAGAAATAATGGATATACAGTCTTCTCTCAGTTTAGTTTCTTAGCTCCAAATGGAATCATCATGAAATCACTCCACAGTTTCAAGTTGAAAATAAATGTTTTCAATTACTCAGCATTAAGTTTAACTGCATTGTGGACCTATTCTATGCAGCTGCTCTGGATACTATTTAATAGAGGAGTATTTTCTGAAGGATGCCCAGCTTTGAAGAATAAAGTTAAAAGTAGATTCATCAATACTCTACCTGAAGCTGGTTGCGATTCTTCTCTGTAAGAAAGTCAAGTTGAAGATCATGTAAATAATAATGGAATGACTTCCCATTACGATCACAGAACAATAGCGATTTGTTAACAAATTCCTGTAGTATATCTTCAACTTCTTCAGTTTCCATATCCCAAAGAATACAGAGAACCTAAAAAAGCACATTAAGACAGAAAAGAATCAGAACTAAGGGGTAATATGACTTGCATGGATATCATAATAGGCTACCAATTAACTGACAACAAAACACATGCTAACAAATATAGACATATTACAAATGGTAATAAATTCAGTAAGTTACCAATTCTTTGATATCTTCCAGGACAGATAATACAAGTTATCCCATCTTTTGTCTATTTGTCCTGATTTATGGTAATCATATATTTTTCTTAAAGGAGACAAATTTCATGTAACAGTTTTTAAGCCTTCAGAGAGCTCAATTACAATCTAATTGAAGATCTATATACAGAATGCACATTAAACTAACATTACGAATACATTTATTCAGTTACAATTTTTTAGTTTCACTACTGACAATAAAAGTCATGATACAATATGGACCTGACCTACCCAATCTACCAATTACTATTAAGTTACATACAACATACGTTATACACAATTATAAGTTCTATGAATTCTTTAAAGCTATTGTTTGTATCTCACTAAAAACGATGAGATTTCTGCATTGCTGTTATTACCTTAGTAGGTACTTTAACATCTTTTGGGAGGATAGAGAGGTCTTTATAGTAGTCTTTATAATTGTCATTCAGTTGCTCAACGCTTATGGACATTGCTTCATCAAGGGCTTCATAATCATAAGAAGAAGATTTTCTTATTCTTTTAAACTGCTTATTCTGCAGCTGTTTGAGATAGTATTCCCAACGACTAGGGAAGTCTCGTAATAATGCACCTATCAAGGATATCACAAGAGGAGAACCTGAAGGAAAAGATTAAATTAATCTTAGAGATTTTCAAGGAACACAAACCAATGGTTTAGTCAAGTGGTTGAATAAATCAGGTAATTTTCCCAATACATTGATTAAATTCTTGTGGTGTGGAGAACAGACAAACAAAACATGTCATCCACATAGACATCTGCAACCTCACCAAATTTAAGTGTAATGTCGGGGGGGAAGATACACTGAAGAAAACTACTCAAAAATCAACATGAGACGCTTCTATTTAGTTTAAAAAAAAAAAAGCATTTAACACACACTTGTGTTTTACGTAAGGCATACAGTATTAAAGAATGTTCCCTCCTCTTTCTAGATCAAAACCTAGAAGAAAAAAAAAATACATTTGGTGGTAAATGGTATGTTAAAGACCAGCAAGTATACCTTTGCATTCCCTTACAAGGCAGTTAGCTTGTTCTGGCAGTTCTGATACTTTCATATTCACAAATAGGGATAAAATCTCCAGTCCTTTCTCATGCGCTAGTCCACTTTCCACATGAACCTCATATTTATTGCCTAGACATAGAAACATCGAAAAAATTTAAAAGAATGTAAAAAATCCTATGGAAATTGAGAATATTTGCCAAGCAAAATCTGGAGCAAAGGACCTGGCTCATGATTTTATCCATAGTATTTCATATGCTTAGTACTAAGAAGAGTATAAATTCTACTCATCAGAATCAAGTTTGCATTAGAGAGACAAAAAAATTAGACTATCATCTAACAATTACAAATGCATTATGGGCATGTTGTAGTAGTGACTGCTTAATAGTGTAGAGATAATCAGTCTAACACCAGCAGTGTCACACAGGTTAATATATCCTATTGAGAATCATTGCACTATTCAATGTAGACATGTAACTTTCAGGATAACATATAACATCTATTTCATGAAGAGCATAAAGTCTTAGAGAGCAGAATTCTAAAACTTTGTCACTTGTGCACAAGTTAACAGACATAGATTCTATCAGATTATTTTAAAAGTTCACAGGAACAAACTGCATATATATATATACACACACACAATCTGTGGTGCAGGAGAGGAAACTGTTCCTTACCAGCCACAGCATCTGTTACACTCCTGTCCCTGCTGGTGATAAGGACCTGACATTGATTATCAAATGCTTTTAATACCCAGGAATCCCAAATGTCATCCAGGATCAAAAGAGATCTAGTGCAAGAAGAAATATTGCAGATTTCAGATCAACTATTAGTGCTAAAATACAGTATTTCATTTTAATAATGAAAGAACATTTTCAGAATTTACAATGTATCACTGCGTAATTTTTCATATCAATATGTAAAATATCTTGAGAGCATTAAACACTGTGCAAGAAAGCCGAACGCAAGTATCTCAAAAAAAAAAGTTTTTACCATTTATTGCTTTATAGCTACAATTGAAGTGTAAACAATAACGTTTTGAGAAATATTTCCACTAGTAGATGCCAAGAAAAACGGAAATATTTACTCTGGTTTTCATGCCATCAGATACCATAAATGAAGAAAAAAGTTATATAGGACTAGATAACAACTCTGCTTGACACAGGCTAGTGATAAGCTTTGTGGGAAAAACCATTTCAGTTTCCTTTTGACTCGAGAGTTTCCAGTGTTGTTCTTGTATCTTCAGAAAGCTATATGAGACTAATCCTGTTGTGAAGGAACTGTCTTGGATGATGATGCTCTTTTTACATAAACAACATTTTATAATGACTACTTATTCAAATCCTATGGCTAGTCACGTTGGTAGGTTACTACATGGAATCTCACCAGAATAATGTATAGTAGACTTCCCTACCCCTGCCTATATCTGACAAAGAACTTACTGAAAACTGTTTTTAAAAGGTTGGTTCCAAGGGAGCAAGAAGTAAAAAAGATGGGCTGGCAAGTAGATTTATGAAAAAAAATACCAGCTATTTGCTTTCTGTGTGTTTTCTGGAGGAAAGAAAGTTATTGAAAAGCAACCCTGCAAATTGTTTACATTTACTGCCCTTTTTTTTTTTTTCTTAAAGGGATGGAGTTTTCACTACACTAATCATTGGTTAAATTATCCAATTCCCACTGAAGCATGCCAAGACTTTCACATCTTTCTTCAGCTAAATGACGCTTATGCCATCAATGCCTGTAACGAGCGATTTTATCCTTCATAAACACATGCATACGCATTATACCACATTTTCAAAGTTGCATATAAGTATTGGATACCCATATTTCGTTTTTATACAATTCCTCTATTAACACCCTTTTGATAAATCAGAAGGTTTACAAGAATACTATCATAGCCATAAATGACCGATTTTGTGGTACTTTCACACTTGAAAATATGTTGGGCAGTATGAATTACTGAGTTTATGTTGTTAATTAATCTGAGAACATCAAAGTCCTCCCAATCTTTTGGTACCAGTGACTTTCTTCCCTAACCATACCAACAAATTTTAAATCCTAATTAGGATTATTAAAAAAAAAAACCAACCCAAAAAAACCCCCAAAACTCCAAAACAATGTGATAACGATCACAGGAGATTTAAATCTGAAATTTCTTACTTTAAAGAATATCATAGCTTCAATTTCTTCATAATCCAACAAAATACATAATGCTATTTTGCTCTAAAAGTTTTCATTTGACTAATACTTTAACCCCAAGAAATGTACTGGATTCACAATTTGAATCCTTTGACTAATACTTTATTCCCAAGAAATGTACTGGGTTGACTATGTGAATCCAGAAATAACTGAAATGACTTTTTGTCACCAAAGAGAATTCCAGTGCAGAGCAAGCTCCACAAGCCGCAGAACTAGTGAAGCTTGGTTTCCAATACACTTGCACCATATGAACCTCACTCTCCAGTACATTCCCCTCTACCCCTTCCCATGCCCATTATGATTTCCCAGATAACCCATCATCAGCAAGACTTTTAGTTTGTTCTTACAGCATTCTCACATATACCTAACTGGGCAGGATGCAGCACAGGCTGTAGCCTGTTCCCAGCTCATGTACCCAAGCTGGCCAATTAGCAAGACAACAAAATATGTTTCCCTTCAATTCATTCTGTATACTCCCTTTCGCCACTGAAGGCACCTACTTGGATTTCTCTTCTTTATCCAACTGTCAATTTTCTTAAACTTACAGAATTTTCAAAGATACAAAGTTCCTACATTTACAGTCAATTTTGGCAATGTGCTCAAAGTGTTTAGGATAGAGGAGGAGAAGGGAAAGGATAAACAAGACTAAGACGAACAGTGTTATCACATTAATATGCTTTCGAAATGGCGAAAAGCAGTCAGACTAGAAAAGTTTTATAATCAATTCTTGTCCCTTTTCCTTGAGGCGCAGTCATTCTCTGCAATACTCCTATCTAACATCCGTTACCTTATCTTGAAACAGATTAATGAACATTGCCAGGTCAACAGTATCCTACATGAGATATCTGGCAATCTATACTGAAGACACTGCCACAGCTGGCGTTGAAATGCCCTCAAATAAAACCAAGTGCCTAATTGTTTCCAAAGCTGGCATTTTCTCTTTTCCCCTTAGTTTCCTCATCATACAGGTGCTCTTTTGACAAAACACAATAAGCACCTCTTAAATGATTCACTACAAACAATATAGCATAGCGCTATATTAAACATGTTAGGCTGTCATGTTACTCGGCTATAGAGTAGCTGCCAATGTCTGGAACAGTTCATGATGCCATCGGGATACACCTTACAAGAAAATAGCACAGAGTTCTCCCTTCTGCTCAGAAGAGACTGTAAGGTTGTGCATGAACTAAACATCCAAATTCTTCTGTATTGAAGAGTTTTGTTTTGTTTGTTAATGAATGAAAAATAAGAATTGTGTCAATGGAGACAACCACTTAACATATTTCAGGGAAACCTGCACTTTCAGTTGAAAGTGTCTGGTTTGCACTTTTCGTATAAGACTTCCACAAAAAGTGGAAGATTTCTTGTGAAGGACTTGGCAGTGTTTTTCAACTCTTTTCTTTGCAAGGAAGATTTTTTTTTTTTTCCCCCCTGTACAAAAATGCCAATATTCTTCTACTCTATGTCATCTATAAAGATCACAAGGTTGGAGTATTATTTCTGAGATACCTCACTCAGGTGCAGGCTTGTTTAGTTTAGTACAAATTTTCCCAGAGAGCAATGAAATCCTCAACAAATAACAAAAACTATTGCTCAAAGATGAAAAAAGCAATGCAGTGACTGAGATGCTGCTTCATTAAATCAAGTCACTTTTCCTGAAGTTTGAAAGCAATTGGTTTCTTGGTCATAATTGATCGTAACATGAAAACCTGCTTTCACTTTGATAACTCTAGACCAAAGACTTTAAAAAGACATCAGCTGTTCCAGAAAGGAAAAATTTTCTGCAGGATACACATCCTTTTACTGCTGTATGATCCTCACACATCAGTGAAGCATTCTACCTACACAATGAGAATACTGAAAGTTAGCGCAATTTTTATTTCCAACTGTTCGTTCCCAACCTTCATTATTCAACGACTAATAATTTTTCAAGCGAATGTGACTCCTGCATAGCTGGTTAACAAATGTTGTTAGCTGAAGCCTTATTAACCTACTAAATATATTCATATCCAGGACAAGCCTACAATGTGTCCCTTAAAGTACTCCATTAAAAAAAAAAAAACATTTGAACAGGGATAGAGTTATACTATGTATATTATACACCTGCCTCTAGCAACTATTTACCCTTCAGCTTTTGTACACTTATCTGAACTTATTTATTCTCTTACCATATTCAAGTTAGTAATTTAGAAAATATTAACAGGAACCCCTATACAAGAATTAAAATTCTAGAAGCATTGTTAGCTTCACCTTGAATAATATTCCCCAGTTACTACAGCAAAACAGAAAAAGGGAAAGCAAAAAGTGGAAGAGGTAGGAAGTTGGTTTTTAAAAAAAAAAACAAAACCAAAAAAACCCACAGCATAGAGACATGTAACCACAACACAGACACCTTAGACGATTAGACCAAAGTTACTCCGCAAAGTTTTATCTGTTAATAGAATAGTGTTTCATTTTACTGACATCACCTGGGATATTTGCGTAGCATCAGCAAACGAAGACGATCTTTAGCCTCCTCAATGTTAAGTGGTGGCCTTTGTGAAAGAGTAGAGTCATTTTCTAATCTACTACAGAGATTCTGAAGTTTTATTAGGAGCCCTGCTTTGTCCTGTTTTCCAACAGAGATCCAGTGAACTCCTCCTGGAAAGTAATCTAACAAGAAAAGCAGTATTAATTATGCTATACATTTAAAATCAGAAATATTTAATAGCAGCTTACAATAGCAATCAATAACTCAATTTCAATTAAAATATAAAACTGTAAAGTCTATTGCATGCTAACCTTGCAACTCTACCACTGACACAGGAGGATGGTTCTACAAGACCACTATTTTTTATTTTTAAAGGAACAGGCTCTGTAGGGCAAGTTCCCACAGAAAATTCACACTGCTCTCATCCCTCCCCCCTACACATATCTTCCTGCCTGTCTCTCAACAATCCCTTCTGCGTCCATCTTCCTGCTAGTCTGACTTAGCATTTACTTTTTTCACCCTGTACTATTGCAGGAGTTCAGAGTCTGGGATGTAAAAACTATCCCAAAACAGCAAACAAGAAGACTCTAGAAGAGTCAGCTGCAGCAGAGGACGCTGTAGTTTCTTTCTCTACATCATGTTTTCTAATGCCCGAGTTCCACTTTTGCCTTCAAGGGTCCTATGCCGGGGTGCGGGGGGGAAATCATTAAATGGTTTCATTTATCATCTGCTTTAAGCTAAAGTGATACTAGTGTAATCACTCCACAAATGCCTGCCATTATTAAAATATATGCAAAAGTTAGAGCAAGATCTTTTTAAAGTCACATAGCAAGGAGAAGAGTCTGAGGACTTAACAGGAAGTGCCCAAAAGGAATATAAACTAAATATGATTATTTTACACTAACAGAAATAACAATTTCAAGTTAATTAAGGATGTATCTACTCTCATAAACCAAAGCAGATTCCAAGGTGAAAAGCTATTCAGAATCTTTTCCCATAAATTAGTAAAATATTTAGTGGTCCTAGAGCACTAAATAGTTACGAAATCTGTAAACTGTAAGCAAATATTTCAGAAGCACCTAAGGAATTTAGAAACCTAAATCCGAAATTACTTTTCAAGATGACATAAGATACTTTGCCATATATGTCCAATATGCATATATCTGTAGTAATTTTTATAAAAATATAGATGTTTTTCTAAAAGTACCTTCCAAGAGCTGATGATCCCTTAAAGCTTCTGCTGTTAAAACAGTCTTCCCACAGCCTGCCATTCCATAAACTGTGACCCAGCCTGGATCACTTCCCAAGCAGCACAGTTTCTGTTTAATAGCATCTACCAGTTTTGGCCGAGTGACAAACACAACCGGTCTCTGTGGTACACCTCCTTCGCAGAGAATTGTCTTAACTAAAGTTAAAAACAAGAAACATAAAAATAAAAAGTAATTTTTTAATGTGATGCCTCTTCAAACCAAACCAAACAACTCCCTACTCCAAATAACTAGTGGGCTCCCCCCACAAACTTGTGTCCCATACAAATGCTTTAAAAACTACTGGACTCTCAACACCAAATACTGAAAAAAGATTGCTTTTTGGAAATAAATTAATTAACAGGTAGCTAGCTTCCCACCTAAAATAGTGTCCCAATTAATAACTACATTTACTGCAAGCTAGTTTCATCAATCCCTAGAATTGAAAAGATAATTAACAACTCCAGTAGAAACTGCGGTAAACAAACACAGGAACTCAACGTTACTATACCCAAGTGTCAAGTCACTTTCTCAGCCAGAAGTTACTGCCCCAATGGATGCAGCAGAAAAGAAAACATGCTGTGTAAGGCTTCTACTTTGTAGTTAACAGCACAGCATTGTGGTCCAAGCAAGACTTCCTCAGATTTAACCTAAGATAGCACGACTTGCAATAGAGCGGGTAAAGCACAGCAGAAAAGGAAACGTGCACTTTATCTGTTCTCTGCTGGCCACAGAGTGGCCATGTGCAGTGCCATATTATACTGATAAGCTTTAGGAAATCTTAAGTCAAGTAATCAATATTCCACATGTCTATGAGACTTCTTAAAATGTAGAGTGACAGTAAATAGGGCATTTAGTCATATGCAGTCAGAAGGTTCTTCCCATTAGAAACTACCAATTTATTTCAGGTCAATCAAAGATGATACTGATGACAATGTAGGTAAAAGTTAGGAACTTATGTAGGGTAACTAAAAGATCTGGTGGAGAGAATTAAGCAACCTAATAACTAGATCAACTATTGGAATGTAGGCTGAGAGATTACATATTACTCTTCAAGATAAATGTCAGAATTTTGGAGGCTACAACTTTTTATGTTAGATTCAACTTCTTTAATATATACAAACACGAGTCTTTCTCTCACATACAACAAAAACGTTACAATCTAGAGAAATCTGTGAGAGCTTCAGGTTTCCCATCTATCCTGGTTCCAGCTGGGACAGAGTTAGTTTTCTTCCCAGTAGCTTGGGGCGTGTGCTGTGTTTTGGGTTTGGTATGAGAGGAGCGTTGATGGCCCATTGATGCTTTGGTTGTTGCTGGGTGGTGCTTGCCCCAGGGAGACACTTGGTTTCTCTTTTCAGCCTCCCATGCCCTGCCAGTGCAGGGGAAGCTCCGGGGGGCGGAGCCTAGCCAGGGTGGTTGACCCAGCTGGCCACACCATCTTTTAAAATAAACATTACTAAATATGAACATTTTCAAGATGACCTACAAAAGTCATAATTGTTGTAACTCTCCTGCCACATTAAATATATGAAATACAGAAGCAGTGACTATTACACTACCAAAAAAGTGAATGCACCAACTACTCCTTTTTCATTGAAACAGGTATTATAGATAGTCACTTAGTAAGGAATAAAAAATACAACTTGTCTTTACTTTCAAGCACAGGGACTGCTGTAGTTATACTGACCGTAGGAAGTCATTCCATCCATTGAACTCTTTCCATTACTGGAGGAGATGGCAGGGATGCCGTCCTGAAGAAGCGCAGCAAGATCTCTGTACCCTTCATGAAGTAGTGCATTATAAAAGGATCTATACGAATTATTATCTTTTGTAAGAATAATGTTTATTAGCATAGCTGCTCGCTCCTTCTGTGTATTCTAGAAAAACATTAAAAGAGATGTTATAAAAAACTAAGAGACCTTAGAAATCACCTAATATACCACTGTCAATTACAGACTGTGTTTATAGCCTTCAACCCTGAAATAGCCTTCAACTTGACCAAGCCCTTAACTCAACCTTATCAAGTGTGATAAAAACTGCATGCCAGGCATATGCTTAAGAATTTGCTGACTCCAGGAATGAGATACACAGAAAGTGTTATTTTCAAAAAGAACGATAAACCATGTGAGCAGACTAGGAAGATAAAAAACAGCGAGAGATGATTCTACCTGTTGTTTCACTTTCTCCTCCTCCTGTAATGTCAGTACTTCATCAGAAATCATACGATCCATAATATAAGAGGTCTTGATGTCTTTTTCCAATGCTTGGCGATTCATAAGTAAATAATTTCTACTCTTCACATCCATATTTCTTCAGTGTTTCAAAAAAAAAAAAAAGTCAAGGCAGAATCAGAACATAACTTACAAGTACAAGGAAAAGAGTTTTAAAATAGTTTATGAATTTTGGTTTTGAAGTCAGAAAAAGTAGCAAAGCAGCTGCATTAGAGTAAAATACAGTGAAGTTTCAGGCAAGCCCATACTACAAACTGCAGAAAGCTAAAAAATTTAGTTGTTTTTTTTACTTTCTGTCTTGATAAAGAGACTTTCACACTACTGTTATATGAATTTAATTACACTGTGTATGACCCACTAGTCCAGCTTGGCTGGACAGTACAGTATCATCAAGAAAACACTGGAAAAATCTAATATCATTCCTTTTCAACAGAGTAAAAAAAGGCATATTAATAGTTAAGGTGTAATTGTTCACCTGCTACTGTGAATATGAATAGTATTCTTGAAATACTATTTAGATGCCATATCTTATTATGTTTAATAAAAACATCCAGCTGAGCATTATTACAATTAATCTGACACAGTATTTCTCTGATTGCTCCACTTGGGAAACATATAAAGCAGGTATAAAAAGAATTTCAATCTTTAACAACTAATTAGACTCATAGTAAAACTCTTGTGCTCACTACATGAATGGACGTTTTCATTAAAAAAGCAGATATGTACTGCTAATTTGTAGAGGAAAAAAAGAATCTGAGTCCTTTTCCACATCTCTATGAATTTATGCTTATGAACGCTTGCAGAACTAAAAAAATCACAGTCTGTGCAAGCTTCTCATATACTAGGAACTTGCTAAATGTCTCTATGAAAAGTCTTCTGCCCTCCCACTAAATCCCTCAAATTTTTGAAATCCTTGGATCATGTGATTGGGACAGCAGGATGAGCAAGAGGACTGGTCTTGCGGCTGACAGCACTGGACAGAATTACAACAGAAAATAAACTCCCTGTGTACCAAATCCCATAAGATAAACTCAATTTTGTCTCTAACTCCAAGACTCCATACAAGTACACTTGGATCTCGACAAATGATAGAAGATGGAGCACCCAACACAGACAACGACTGAGCTATACCTTCCTTTGTCAGCATCTGATACACAACTGTAAATTTGCATTCTTCCTCTATGTCGCAAAAAATATTGCCTGAAGACGATATAAGGTGAAAACTATTGTCTACTGTGTAAAGGTTTTTCAGTACTGACCAGCTGCCCCTGAGAGTCCCTAGCGATCAAGATGATCTCTCTGCTCACACTCCTGCACAATGACCAAAAGCTCCATAGGCAGTTGCAAGCTCCTCCACAGAGCAACTCTGCAGCTGCCCGCAGAAGTGTTCACCTCTTCCTTCGCTCCCTCCTTCAGGAGCCGGGTAGATGCAGAACAGCTGCCTTTGGATCAGCCCGCGATGGAGTGCCTCTTCCGCCGTACTGACAGAATTTCCTATTTTCACTGAAAATTACGTGGTTAGGAAAGTCTTCCAACCTACCTTTACCCCACTGCACCGCTTAGGAAGGGGAC